CACCAAAGGCCAAATCTTAAAAAAGACTCTTGAAAAAAAGATCGGCATCCTTACCTCTTCGTCGATTTGAATACCGCCTTCAGCAGCACGAGAAGGAGCTACCTCTACGCGGATATGTATGAATTTGGTATCCCCACAAAACTTATGCGGCTATGTAAACTCAAAGCTCCGTCAGGATCGGGCACGACCTCTCCGAGCCGTTTGACACCAAACGAGGTTTCAGACAGGGTGATTCCTTATTAATCTTTAATACGATATGCAGAGCTGAATAGAGAAGTTACAATCTTCTATATTGGCCTCAAAAACCGCGTCGTGAGCTCTGCCTTCTGCAAGCTGGATAAGGAAGCAAAGGATATGTGTCTGGTTAGTGAAGGAAGGCAAGGCGAAATATCTTCTGTCATATCACTTGCGATTCGGCTCCCACGTCACTGTTGACAGTCGAGATTGTATATAACTTCGTCTGTCTAGGAACACAATACCGCAGACAATGGAACGCTGAGCTGTGCGAGTTATACGGAGGCATTGATATAGGTCAGCCAGATTTGAAAGTTTTCGATGCTGAATCAGCCAGTGAAAGCAGAGGAAGGGGAAGATTTCCACTCCGTTGGAAAGACCAGGTAGAGAAGATATTTTTAACTGGGCTCTATAAAATATTTGCCGTCTCCAATGCTTACTGGGTATTAAGTGCAATTACAGACAAGATATAAGTATGGCCAACAACGATCGTTTGCTAACATTATATTTTAAGAATTACAAGCAAATTCACGCGCATGCGCAACCATGTTAGAATCTAAAAAGACACACACTTAAAATAATATACACTACAATATGTACATATGCATGTGTCCACAGTAACTAGACAATTGTGGCAAACGAATTGTTGAAAGTCCAAAAAGAGTTGTTAATTTATGAATTTAGGCTTTCCATTTCGGAGGGACGCGTTCGAAGTGTTGTTGTTGCTAACAAGCAACACCCAAAACACACACATGCACAAACTAACAAAGAGACAGACAGACATGTGTCAAAGCATGATTTGTCATTTGTCATCATATAATCACACACACACACACACACACACCGCTAGCACACAGCACTTCACTTCATACATTGCATAATCCTTCTGTGCTCTTGTGGCAATGAACTTTAACGAACGAATTATTTAGAAAAAATGAAATGTTTTGATTTTCGGCCACTTGAACTTCCTCACTTGCCACAACTACTAAGTATATGTGTATGTGGGTATTTATTTATTTATTTAACTTTCTTTGATTGCTACTGGAGAATTATTGAGCTCCTATAATACGCAAGAGTTTGCTCTTATGTACGGATAGTGAGTATATTTAGGTATATATGTATGCGTAGCTTAATAATATATTTTTATTAAATTTTTTCCCTTTTTCTGCACTTCACCCATTGCGTAATTGTTCTTACTGTTATTACTTCATTGTAGAGTTCATTTGAAAATCACGTTTCTTGGACTCTTCTTCTTATTATCGTATTCTTCCCCCCTCCTTAATGTGCGTAAGCTTCGCAAAATTTTTTACACGAGTCATCTCGATTTAATTTACACGCGAGTTATTGTTTGTCTATAAGTAAGTATACTTACATATATAAGTGTGTATAGCGGATGCTAGTCCACAGCTTGTTAGCAGTATTTATGTTGACAAATCAAATTCACAGATCCCACTTAGTCAATAGAAATACCGTGAAATTTTGCACTTGAAAAAGGTACACAGCGAACAGAAAGTTTAATGAATAATAAGCGTGAGAGCAGCTTCAGTGACTACGTAGAGGTTCTTATAGTTTCAATGAACTTCTATATTTTCTTTATGTTTGTATAATTTTAATACATTTATTTATCTTTAATTCTGTTGACTTCTATAATTGTGTAATTGTAAAGTGGCGCCTCAAGTAAAAGTAAAAAATATTGTATATATCAAATAAATGGAAAGGTGAATGTAGCTGGTACACACAGCCTTGGCCAAAAGTATTAGGCATCCCACTAATTACTGAATTTTTTGTTTTAGCAAGTAAAGGAATGAAGTTTTATTAGTAAAAAGTGAAAATACAATGAATTAGTGCTAATAACATTAATATAATATTTAGTAGGCAGCAATTCTCTTAGGCATGCTGCATACAAGCTTTGCCCATTCGTCCACACTTATAGTGTACCACTCGTTAATTAAGGCATTCTTTAAGGCAGTTTTTGATGTTATATTGTGTTCCTTAATCTTGTGTTTTAAAATAACCCACATGTGCTCAATGAGATTATGATCTGGAGACTGTGCAGACCAAACTAACAAAACAATGTTGTTATCTCGTTATCAACTGATCGTAGTCGCTGATTTGTGACAAGGAGCATTGTCTTGCTGAAACTGAGCCCCGTCTAAATTTGTATCGCCGAAAAAGCGCGTTAACAAAGGCAGACGAACAGCTTCTAAAACATTTATGTACTTTTGACTGTCCATGAGACCCTCGCAAACGAACATTTCACCGACACCATCTGATCATAATGCTGCCTCCTCCATGCCAAACAGTGGGTACCACGCAATCTGGATGTTATTCTTCCCCAACCCGTCGCCTCACGAACGTCACGCCAGGTGTTCGAAAAATCTGTAGAAAAGAAAAAGTAATGATTTCATAAGATTTTAATTATGTCTTCAAAACTGCTCTAGGGTTAGAAGCTATGGCTGTTACTACTTTAAGACGATCTTAACTAAGCTCACCTCGAAGTTTGATTCATCAGACCACAGAACATTCGGCTAATCTTCTTCCGTGAAATGTTGGTATCGGCAAGCTCATTCCAAACAATTTTTTATTCTTTTCTGAGAATCACGGCTTCTTTCGGGCTTAAGATCCTTTTAATTCTGCTTCCAGAAGTTTTCTTCTAGCTGTTCGAGCACTAACTGGTTTTAATTTTCTGAAACTCGGATTAAATTTTTATAAAACAAAATGTGTATGCTCGAATGGTGGGTAATAGTTTTGCCAACACCCACATCACGCCGATTTATCGTTACGGAATACCGTATCCTAATTGTAAATTTCTAACTCGAAATGCACAGATACCCACATAAAATTAAGGTCTGGCTAAAGGCAATTGAAGTCATCTGCTTATGATCAAGATCAGATAACTGCTTATCTGATGTGTTTGCGTCTGCCTGTCTCTGCTCTCTTGAGCGGTTTGCAGCGTCCGATTCCTCTAATGACATCGGGTAAAGACCACGTTTTCGTATATGCTTTAGTGCTTCATAAATACTCTTCCCCTTCCCTTCCAGCAAATTATTTGCAGGTGTTTGGTGTTAGCTTATAACAAGACAACGATTTCAGCGAGTTATGCAGCATATTAGGGTTGCACATACTAACTTATATATAAGAGTTGGTGAACTATTGATTTTCCGCCTTGTAGCTTTCATTTCAACGAAATTTAGAAAATATATTCCCATAGGTTTACCTAGAGTTTGTCAATTGGAAAAGGGGGCGTGGTACTTAAATTTTTAAATCAACAGGGTTGCCATCAGTTTTGTGATTGTTTTTATATATTATAAAGTCTTCTGTAAGTGTGGCTACGATTGAATTCAAACGACATTTTTGATATGTTATGATGTATTAAAATTCGCGGAGCTACCACCTGTTCTGAAATGAAGATTAAAAAAAAAATAGAAAAAAATAATAAACGAAATATTGCAATATAGATATAAAAGTAAAGGGATGGAGGAAAGGTTTATTAAAAAAAAATACTTTTTAAAAGCTTAACGGTGAAGAAATTTTGAGTAGAGTTGCCACCGGCTTGAAACTGTTAAGTTAATTAATAATATTGAGGGCATTAGAGTAATGTATTTAGTTTTTTGAAGACTTTTTGTTATTTTAAGCACAAAATAACTGCAAATACGAATGCCGAAAACTCAGAAAAGTCACAAATTTCTTGGGGTGAATACACAATGGACGGAAAATATACGTTCAAGAATTCCTGATGGAGATTTTGGCATAAGTGTTCAATCATTGGGGACGGTTCCTCAGAGGAGAGTTTTTAGTGACCTGCAAGTGGCACAAACCATTGGTTTGACGACACAATGATGATGGGGATGGCATTTTTCTTCTCCTCACCCGCAAAAAAAATCTTGTTTGAGGTTTTGCTCTTACTAAATAAGAATAGGCTTTGCAGTTCAGGGGTCACTTATTCTAATTCCAAATGTTCTAGTGGCCCGTGATTAATGAAGTTTTAGGGTAGATAGAATCGTGGTATGACAACAGTCTTTTAACTTAACTCTGCTGATTATACCAGCTTCAACTATTTCTAATCTAAGTTTTAAATCTCTAATCACTAACAATTTCTTAGGAGATTATAAAAACTAGAAAAAAATGTGATGCAAGTAGCGATCATAATCATTCTCTTTATTTAATGAGCACTAACACTCTCACTCTCTTAAATGCCAATGCGACAGTTAACGATTGTGCTACGCACCTGCTCATTTACATATTTTCATAGCCGAACTCATTATGCCAATGTGGTAGTGTAATGCATGCAAAATGAATTCTTCGAGCCAACAGCTTAAGCACCAGACACTGCCCAGCGAAAAGCGCAAGCGCAACCAACAATAACAACAGCAGCGAATGCAAAGTGAAAAATGCGCGCAAAATAATTCCATTCAATGAATTCATTACATACACGCATTCATACATACATACATATGTGGAATTGTATTGGTAACATAGTCGGCGTCAAGATGTTGTTGTTGCAGCGAGTATTTGTGGTGACAATTGTAATAGTTTGCGTTGCCTCATTGTCAAAGCCATTGCCGCAGAGTTTGCTCAAGCGCCGTGTATGTATGTGTGCACCCATGTGGGTGCATATACGTGTATATGTGCGTGTGTGTGTGTGTGCCTTCACTTGCTATTAGTTGGTGTTGCTGTTGGTTAGTCTCTTCATTGAATTCTTAATAAATCAAAGTGAAGAATATAAATGGCGAGTAACACACCCGAAACGGTCGCAGTTAGTAAATTTCAGCCAACGGAGCCTCACAGTGGAAGCGAGTGCGAGCTTTGGTCTGAAGCACCAAGAAACAAAATAAATTGAACTAGAAATTTCTAAAACGCCAACGAAACGAAAGAAATAGCCTAAACAACAATTCAATTCAAAAAACAACAATTTAGCGGCTTAGCGGAAGTTGTGAGAAAGAAAGAAATTAAAAAGAATTCACCAAAAAGGATTAATGTGCATTTTCGGCCAGAAAAAAAATATTGCGAATTAATTTAAGAAAAATAATTTCTCCAAAAATTACTAGTGTGACAAAGTGGAAATTGAGAGTTTTTAATTCGTGAAAAAGTCGTGAACATTTTAGCGTGGCAATTATGTGGAAGCGCACATTACTTTTGGTGTGTCTCAGTGGCTGCTGCTGGGCGGGACCACTACATGGAGTCAAGGTGCGTTAAGAAGGTGCAAAAATTGCAACAAAAAAAAAAGACATGTTAGAATGAGCGCAAGCGTCAATGCTGATGCTCGCGCGCGTATGTATGTAAGTATGTATGTAAATGTGTTTGATATTCCAAAATTGGATTGCGAAAGGAAGCCACAACAAAGCATCAACTGCAGGCAGCAGGTGCAACATACTTATGAAAATGTGTGTGTGTGTGTGTGTGTATGTATACGTAAAAGGCTTTATGCACTTCCGTTAAACGTCATGTGCCTGTGGTTCGATGACAAACGGAAGTAATACAATTTTGTGCCACTAAAGCGTGTAGAAACCTAATCAAGCAGCCACACTTAAAAGTAGTAGAATTAAATAAATGAGCAGAGGCCCACAGTGAGCGTAGATTTGTAGACTCCAACTCCTCAAATTAATTTAAATTCCAGCCATATAACGGCTTACAATATATGCCACACATTCTCTTGCTAATTTATATAGAAAAATGTTCTTTCATTCCCATTCTCTTTCCACATTTCCTTTACCTCTTTCACCCTGACGCATGTGGTTACTTGGTTTAGGCGGTAAGAATAAAAATAAAATAAATAAAAATAAAAAAATATTACACGCAAATCAATTACGAATGCTTCAGAATTACTATGAATATTTAGTCCATCCCATTTAGTTTGGTATTGCAAAATGGCCATGCAATAGCTTAAATGGCTCGTCGCTCCACTTTTGGGTTTCCTTTATGTAGTCTAGAACAAGTCACACAACTCACAAAGCTCACCGTAAATTCTTTTGGTTTTGTAATCCATTAAGATTATGGCTCGCAGCGGAAGACTGCAAAAATTAAAAATTTCCTTCTTGGCTAGTTCGTGTCTGGGTGGGACTAGTAATTGCGGATTTCTCAAAAGAAAATTTTTTAAAATTATTATGGTCTTCAATATTTATGCGAACGAATTATTTTTAATTTTGCAACTGGACTTTAAATTTTTTAACTTTTATTTTGTTAAATTTATTTTGTTAAATATTTTTTTTAACTTTTGGTAAAAATTTAATTAACAAAAACAAACATATTTTAACCCATTCTATACATAAGCTCTAAACTTGGTCGATACTCAGTCGATACTCAGTCGATACTCGGTCGATACTCGGTCGATACTCGCTCGTTGCTCAACTGCTCATATGTTTGTTTGAAATTACTCAATTTCCAACTTCGGTTGTGAATTTTTTTTAGCATTCCAATGAGTTTTTCACTTTGCATAAATAAACCTAAAATTATTGAAAGGAGTTATGAGTAAAAATTCAAAGGTTTTGTCGAAAATGTTTGAAAAAAGCACGAATTTCTCGACACAGTGATTGCAAATTTTAGAGCTTACATTTTAGCTCTACTAAAGACTATGCGCTAAAGAGACTACAATATGCTCTTGGGATCCTTGGGCTATTCCTTCTCTCTAATCAAATGGCCAGATTTAGTTCTTTCCTTTCAATGGTTTAAAAGTTCTCTAATAATACTTTTCAAAGCAAAATTAAAAAAAATAAAAATTATATGAAAATCATGTCAGGACTTTTTAGAGCTCATTAATATTAACTGTTATTTTTTACTGAAAGAATTCGCTCTGCAACTTATTTTATAAAATAATAACCTCACCAAAATATCCGACCTTGCGCAAATTGAGATGCCATAGCATTCACGATGCTACCAGCTTTAGTTTTACGAAGTTTTACATACATACAAATATAAATTAGTGACTGAAAATAAAAGAGTTTATCAATTGAAGCAAACTTAGAGCTAACACAGAGAGTGGATATGCAGAGCGCAATTAGTGTCTGCTACTTGAGGGCGACCGCACACAGTCCGATTCTCATTTTATCTCTCACAAAGCATTAGCTTCGTTTGAAAGTACTTGATTTGGTGGTATCTTTTGTGAATAAGAACAGAATCAAGCGAGTGATTCTTCTTCTTCTGTTTTGGCAATATTTATGATAGTTTGAAGCAAATCTTTCTAAAATTTTCTAAGCGTAAGAAGTTTAGGAGCAGAACTTATTACTTTCTGATACAAGCTATGTATTTTTTGGTTGAGGTAGAGAGTAAAAACACTATTTTTCGAGTGAAGAATTCTACTTTAGTTATCTATGAAAAAAAGAATCAAATTAAAAATTTTCATTTGAATGGTTATTGAAGATTTTCACCAATTAAATAGGTAGGCAGACAAGTAAAGTAGTTGTCTGAGGGCAAATCTAAGTATTTATTTAAAAAACACATCGTGATACACCTGAAAAGAAGTTCTCCTCATACTACTTTGTCCTTTCTAAGTCACCCTAACTAACAGTTAAAGTTATTTAATTTCAAAAGTTTTATACATGCCACTTTCAAGACGCCGTCAAGGAAACTGTGACCAATAGTTGCAGAGCTCTACTGCCATTCTGCAGTCCTGACTAGACCAACAAACAAAATTATAGGAAATTAATTTAAAAAAAAAATTAAGTTACATTTTCTAACTGCGTTCACCACTTGGCATGGAATTTCAAGCCCTCCGAGTGTATTTCTGCCATGAAATAAAGACTCCTCATAAAAATATACTTTGCGTTAGTAGGCGACTCAGAATAAATATAGTTTCCGCCATTTGTTGGAAACATTTTAAGACGCAAACCATAAATTGGGATATGAGTTCGGTCGAAAATCGCTTCAGCGGTTGCAAAGTGTGAATTATTCAATCACCCGCTGAGCTAGAGTCTTCTTCTTCAGTATTCTTAGTCTACTCGCGTATCTGTTGATGAGCAATGAATTTTTGTACATATATTATAAGATATGCCGTACTATTAATTTTCTCAAAAAAATTCTTGGGTTTTCGAGACCTTTTACAGATCCTCATAAGGGTTAAGCTGCTCTATGCCTTATACAACAGAATTTTAGAAATCCAAATCTATATTTCCAAAAGAGGGAACGTGTCTTCACTTTGTTGAAAATACTAGTCAATGTTTTGAAAATAAACCCAATAGCTCTTTCAATCCATCATGACATCAAGCAAAAAAAAAAAATACTATTAACCAAAGACAAGACAGATCATAAATCATGCTCATACATGTATCACGTTCGTTGCTGAATCATTGACAGTCAACAATGCAAGAAACGACACTAAAAGAGTTTCATTAAAATGCAACAAATCACAGTGACTTTTACGCAAATCGGAAAGTACGTAATAAAAAGAAATTAATACTTACAAAAAAGGTAATAAAAATGAACAACAATGAAACTTAAATGTATTTAAAGCTATTAATAAAAAATAAAAAATCAAAAAAAAAAAAAATAATAAAAAAATTGAAAAGGTCTTAAAGAAAGATTTAAATGGAAGTTAATAAATAAAATATTATTTATAATTTAGGAATATCCGAAAAATACTGAAATACAAAAAAAAAATTATGTAAAAATTTTAAAATTAAATTTTTTAAATGTACAATAATAAAAAAATACTTTATTAATATAAATTAAAAACAAGATTTTAAATAAAAAGTAATAAGAAATTAAAAATAAATAAATTGACAAAGTCCAATAAACAAAAAATTAATAAACAAAAACTAATAAATAAAATGGCAGTGGCTGAAAAATCACTAAAATCAAAAAAAAAAAAAAAAAATACAAAATAAAAAAAAAATATTATTGAAACGAATAAAACAAAATATAAATTTTGTGTTAAAATACATGTATAAACAATTAAGAGAAAAATAGCAATAATAAAAAAGAATGCGAGAAAAAAAGTTATTAATAATGAAATAAAATATTTTTCAAAAAAACTTGGAAAATTAAAAATGATTAATAATAATTAATTCAATAAATAAATAAATTAGCAATGACTGAAACAATATAAAAGTCCAGAAAGTCTAACAATAAATAAACAATTTTAAGTAAAAAAAAAATTAAATAAAAAATTGGCGAAAAATCAAAGTAATAAAATAATATATCTATTAATAAAAATAGAAATGTCATAAAAAAATAAAAAAAAATAAAAATTCAATGTGTCGCAATAAAATACATTAGCCAAGCAAACGAAAGTCCATTAAATATTTTTAAACGCGCACAGCTGCAATCGACGAGTCGAAAATTCGCCCAGCGCAAACGCAACCGTTTCCAAAAATGTGCAGCCTAATGGACGACGCACATTTGTATATTTTCAAAATGATATTTTTACAAGCAAAGCTACATATTTACCTAAATGCCCAAGTGAAATGTACGAATTTCAAAGGTCCGTCTGTAGATTTGTATGTCCATATGTCCGTATGTATGCATGTATGTATGTAGTTTCACTCTGCACCTAGCGGTATAAAACTAGAACGGCAGGTGAAATTTTGTTTTGCTATTGCTGAAACGAGCGAATGAATCGAACGGACCGACCCAAGCGACCAACTGTTTGTTTCAATTACCGTTGCGCCATTTTGCGACCAAAAATTGTGACGATTCGCTTGAAACGTTGATTGATTTCCAAATTCCATAACATTTCACCTATAAAGAACAACAACAAGCATTGAAAATTGGTAAACTGCAGCGCTTGCATGCCGAACGACTGGCGCCCACAGTCACGTGCGCGTATGTGACTTTGAGGCAGCGAGCGAGTTTTGGTCCGCTTTGATAGTCAGCTAACTAACTACTTAGGGACCTGCCTACTTGTCATGCAATGCAGGGATTACATAAATTTCGTGCACGCATAATAGCAAAGTAATGAGGAGAAACTGATGGCTAGATCTCGACTAGTCTGGGCGCATTTTGTGCGCTAAGTGCTAAGCTATTTTAAGAATTCGCAAAATATTTTCATAGCAATTTTTCTTCTTCTTCTTTTTCCCTTCTTCATTTTCTTTAGCGAAATGCGCCCATTGTGCTGCGTGAAGACGATGCCGAGCTGGAGCGTCCCGCACCCGAGCCACTGGCGCCGGAATACCCCGAAATGCCATCGACACTGACCTTGCCCAGCAATGCGACATCAATACGCGCCGACATCACCGACAGCTTCTCGTGCGACGATAAAGTTTATGGTTATTATGCAGACGTGGAGAATGACTGCCAGATATTTCACATCTGTTTGCCGGTCACATACGCTGATGGCAAGGAGAATACATTCCGCTGGAGTTTCATCTGTCCCGAGGAGACTGTGTTCAGTCAGGTAATTGTTGCTTTATCAGCTACTTTTGTATTTTTCTAATTAAAATCCCTATCGCAATCACGCAGGAATCATTCACTTGTATGCGTCGCGAAGATATTGCCTTCTCATGCGAAGACTCAGTGAATTACTACGAATTGAATCGCAACTTTGGCATGACTGAGGTACAGAATGCGAACTCTAACAACGCAGAAGCTAACGAAGAACAAGCTGCGGTTGAATCAGCTGCCGAGACCGCTGCTGAAGCTGGAGAATCTGTACCCCAAGCAGCGCAGGCAGAACCCGCCGCTCCAGCACCACAACCACCCAAACCAGCTAAGCCTGTAAAAGTGCAGAAACCCAACCGCAGAAAGCCACAACAAAAACCACAACAAGACTCAGCTATTCATCCCACCAATAAGTTGCCATCGTTAATGCCACTCCGCAAGATGCCCAATATAGTGCCAAATGTGCCTGTTTCAGTGCCCGCTGAAGTCGTTGCCGTGCACGAAGTAGACGACGAAGTAAAACCAGTGCTATCGCGGTACAAGAAACGTCCCGCTGTTTCATACAACTCAGAGAAAGAAGTCGTCGAAGTACCAGCACCGCCTTTCAGGGTCGAGTTAGTGCACACCCTCAGCCATCCAGAGTCATACAAACGTAAACGTCCCGCTTATACGCATAAAAATAAAGTGGTCGCCACCAAAGTAGCTGAGGAACAGCCCGCTGTAGTTCAGCCTGCACCAGAAGTTGTAGAAGCTATCGAGCCCGTTGTACCTGCAGTCAAATTTGAATATAACTTAGCTGCTGTTCCAACAACTGCTGAGAAAGAAGAAACTATTGCAGCTGTTGCGCCTGTAGCTGAGCAGGTCGCTGCGGAAATACCAATGGCCGATGCTGAGCCACAAGCTTCTGAAACTGGTGAAATTGTTGTAGAACCCGAACAGACACTGAAGACAATTGTCGTACAGCCAAGCATACCAGAAGTTGAGATCACACAGGCTGAAGAAGCAACAGTTGAGGTAGCACAACCTGTTGCCGAAGCTCAAGCTGAAATCGTAGAGGAAACAAATAATGTTGAGGAACCTGCTGACGAGGAATTTCCAAAAGTTGAAGAGACACAAGCTGAAGAAGTGACCAAAGTGGAGGAACCAGTTGCAGCTGAAGTAGAGGCAGCCCCTGAAGTGACGCCTGCTGAGGAAATCCATGACGAACAACCAGCAGCGGTTGCCATCGAAGCAATTGAGGAAACTCCAGCTGTTATAGCGGAAGCGCCTCAGATTACGGAAGTAGAGGAAGAACAACAAGAAGCAACCGCAAATGTTGAACAACCAGTCCAGCTTGAAGAGCATGCCCAACCCAATCAGCCCGCTGAGTTAGTTGCTGATCAATTACTTAGCGCATCTGCACCTGCTGCACTGGATGCTGAATCTGAGGTTGCTGCACCTGTTGAAAATGTCGAAGAAGCTTTGCCTGCATTGCCCTCCCTCGAGGAGCTGGAGGAACAGAAACCCGCCGATGCTGTTGAAACTATGCCCGCCACACCCGAAATGGAACAGCAGGACCCCATAGTGGAACAAGCATTTGAAGACAAAGATGCTCACTTACAAACCGTGGGTGGCTTCAAACCAGTCGATCCAGAAGTAGCTGCTGAAGCTGAGGCGCTCATTTCGGATTTCATCAATACGTTGAGAAGTGAAAACCCAAATACGTTACCCATGTTGCCAGTGGCAGTGGAAGAAGATGTATCAGCAGCTCCTGTTGAAAGCGAAGATACCAAAGTTGAGATTGAAGCAACACAAGATAATGAAGAGAAAATTGCTGAGGAGGAAGCTAAGCCTGAGGAAGAAACACCACTTGCTACTGAATCCGGAGCGAATCAATTGAAAGTCGTAGCTGCTGAAGAACCTGTGTCCGTTGAAGCAGAAAACGTACCAGTTGTAGTAGAGAAAGACCCTATCGCCGAGGAGGAAGTCAAAGTATCGCCTCTGCTCAAGTTCCCCATCTCCAACAGTTTTCCCGCTGATATGTACCAAATTCCAGTCACTGTCATTCAAACGCCATACGAGGAGGTACAACAGGCAGAAACTGCAGTGCAGGAACCACAAGAAAACACTGATGAGGGCGTTAAAGCGGAAGTCATGCAAGAACAACAACAACAAGAAGAATTAGTGCCAGCAGCGGAAGGAAGTCAGCAAAATGTAAAATTCCTGCCTTCTGAGCCAGAAGTTGAGATCACAGAGGAGCAGAAAGAAGAGAAACTGCCAATCGAGGAAACCGTGCCAGAGACGCAATCCGACATTTTGGAACCACTGGAAGCCGCACCCGAAGTTGCACAATCCGCTCTTACGGAAGCTTCCGAACCAGCACCAGAGGAACAACCCGCTGTCGCTGATGTAGCAGAAAGTCAACCTGAGATCGCACAACCCGCTACGCCCGTATCGTTTAGACCCATTAGCATTGACGATATTGTCGAATTGGTCAAAGAACGTTTGGATCAAGCGCCTGCTAACGAAAAAGGTGCGCCCATGGAACTTGTTATCGATTCCAGCAATGCAGACAAACCTGTCGAGTTGAAATTTAGTTTGGAAAAAGGGTCAGCGCCGCAAGAAGTATCAGCTGAACAGACACCTGCCGAGAATATCATTTTTCCCATTTATCATCGAGTGTCCGAGCCTGAGAGCAGCGATGTCAAAGCTCAAGAAATTGTAGCGGTTGAAGAGCCCAACGCTTTCGTGACCGAGTTGAAAAAACTGCCAGTTGAAGATGAGGCTGTGCAAGAAGCGGTAGAACCTCTAGTTCAAACTGTGGATCAGGTAGTGCAAACAGATGACGCTGAGGTAGAAGCAAATACCGCTGTGAAGACCGTTGCTTTAAACACTGAGACTGAAACTGAAGCTGAGGCTGCACCAGCGCCAGTTGTGAATGTGCAGGAAATAGACGCTGCAGCGCCCGAAGCTGCGCCAGTTGAAACCGAAATCACCACCGCTGAAGAGAGTGCGAAGGCTAACCGCGCCTTGAGATCGCGCAGCTTGACAAAAGCCAAGTTGGATCCACGCAAACGTCGTTTCCTCTTCAGATCCGATGCCAGTTAGATGCTTCAAACGCTTATTTAAATGCCCACTATGAGCACACCCTGTATGCCACAGGGTGAGCGTGTGCTTTATACGCACGCAACCCGCACATAAAATTCCTACAGCTTAGGCTTCTAATACTTTTTCTACAAAAGAAACTCTACACTTTCCTCTACTTACAAAACATAGTTTGAGTATGGATCCTGAGAGAGCAGTGAAAGTTCTACTGAGCTTAAAGCACTGCCACAAAGCAACGGGCCGACGGAAGAACAAAAACAAAAACAATAACTCAAACTTTCTTTCCTTATTTAAGTTAAACTAATTTATGATTTTAGGTCTACTTTTTTATATGAAAAATTATAAAAATTGAAAAAAAAATGCAAAATTTTAGAAAAGTGCGTGAAATTCACACAGTTTCGTTTGCCGAAGCCATATAAATGAAGAAAATATAATTTATTTTGTTGTTATTCGATGTGAATTTTTTGTTCAATTAGGAAGTAAAAGACAAAAAAAAATTAAATATAAACTATAAATGAGTGTGATTTGTATATTTGATGCATTAATAACATACACATTGCGTATATTTAAATAAATTAAGGAAATGCTTTAGTTGCTCCATTTTTAGTTGAACAAAAATGAAAATTGAATAAAAATTAAAAAAATAATAATAAAATATTTTTGTGTTGGCAATTTTTATTTTGAAAAGTTTGATAAATAAATCGAAATTCAATTAGAGCTTTCATCTATTTAAAGCCTTGCAAAGTCGAGTTTGATTGAAAAAAATTGGTGATTGAGTGAAAGCAGCCTTATGTGCCTAAAGCTTAGCGAATACTACAACTTTATTTTCAAATCAATATTTTGAATGAATCGAGTGAATATACATTATTCTAACTCTTCAAAATTTATGCGAGTTTTTTTAAATTCATAATTAAAGTTTTGTGAACTGAAAACCTCCTCATTCACTCGATACTTTTTGGCAATTGTTGCGTATAACAAAGAGTATTTTAATTTTTACATCACTTAAACTTTGGCCGACAGATCTTTATTACTATTAACTGCTGAAATATTAATTTTTTTCTTCAAAACACAAAGTTGTATTCTTTAAGGGAACTAGAATTTAACGGTTTTTGTTTTCGGCTATTCTAAATTTGAAATCACCCTACTCTTATTTGGTTAGCGATTTGATATTCAGAATTTGGAAAAAAAAATAGGCAAACGTAATATAGAAATTCGAAAATATTTATATTGCATTAAATTCGACTTAAATATTAAAAAAAATAGTCAAAGTATGGAAAATCTATAAAAAAGTTTACGTTCGTTTGTAAAGATCCACAAATATCGAAAAGTTAAAAGCCGACTGTGGCTCGGTCAGCACCAGCGGACGAGATCAATGTTTGCATAAAATATTCAATGTTGTGGAGACACGTACAAACCCTGCAATTAACTAGCAATTTGTGAGTAAAACTGGAGGGTATAGCTAATTATTTTATATAATTTAACCCCTTCACTATTCACTTATAAGATTTCATTCATGCGGCTGATCTCGCCGCAGGCTCTCCTATTGGCATATTTTTTCAAATATAATATATTGCCCATTCTGTGACTCTCTTCGTCTCTGAATCGCATGCTTTTGAATTGAAGTTGACGGCCGAGTATGATTCGGGCAACCCCCTCGATGAGTGGTTACTCGATTTGTTTTGTCCAATAACGTATCGGTTTGATGAGCTTGCTGCTTAAATTGATCCACAGACTGCCTGAAAGTCCAATTATTTCAAAAGAAAGTTTCTTCCTAATTGCAAAGGAATACTCAATAATTTGGACGTCAGATTTAAATATATTCCAATATTCTTCAAGCACAGAGTATAACAGTTTTTGAATCGCATGACGTCGGGAATGTCATTTAAGATGTGAAAGCTCAAAATAGCAGTACTTTTATATATATATATATATATATATATATATGGCTTTTTATACCTGCTGAAGAACAGACATATTATTCTATCGAAAATTTCATCAATTTAGTGGTTAAATTGAATTTGTGAAACAATAAATTTGTGCCTGAAAGTATGAATTTGCAAGCCCTGTATGTTCAAGCCTTATTTAATTTTATGTACACTTTGTTTTAATACAGCTGAGGTTACTTTTAGACAAATTGTAAAACTGCTGTACTTTGATGTCTTTGCTTGAGGGACAGGAGGGAGAGAACTGGAAATGTATTCATTGAGCTCAACTGCTCTTGAAGTAGCTCAGGGAAAAACTTTGAGATGATGCGGAAAGACCAATCTTTTTTTACTTTTGGCATTTTTTGGGTGGAGCTTGAGATGAAAAATTAGTGGGAGCTTTGGTGAGCATGCCCATTGTAGTTGCAGATAGTACAGTATGAAAATGTTACTGTTGCGTGAGGAATTTATTTGAGCGCTGTAAATTATCATAAATAGTAGAAGGAGAAAGTACGCCAAGCTTTTATAAGCCAAGGTTACAGTCTTAGAACTGGCATTTTTTCGTCGTTCCTGATGATGGTAAACATCGAGGCATGAGCAAGGCTCGGCGGTCTCGTGCTTCAAGAGGAGAGGTTTGTTTGCTTTACATATACCTTATATATAAGTAAAAAAATAAAAAAATAAAATAATAAAACAAAGCAAGCTTTCGGATATGTACCAAGCATCTATTTAGCTTCTATAATACACTTTATGTTTATCACTTCCCTTTCGAATGGAAATGGATATATGGATAAGTGTATCAAATTATCGGCAGCAAAATCGAATGCCCAAGGATAAGGAACATAGGCTACCGGCCGCTTAAATACTAGATAACTTAATAAGAAAAATTTACGAATTTAAAACGTCTTCACACTCTCGTATGCGGCTTCAATTGGTTTCATTATGAAACATTTTCTGTTTTACTGAAATGGGAGAAAACAAAATGAATACCTTAAAAAATATATAAACTACGTTTATTTAACATATTTTTTACATCAATGCAAATGTAAACAAATTAAATTAAGTACGAGCAACAAGTTTGTGTCAAAGAAATGTGGATAAATTCATTTTTTTCGTCTCAAAAATATACCAATTTTAATAAATTTTACAAAATACAAAGTTTTTTATAGCGCGCATGAAACTAAGTATAATCACTGCCCTACAATCTTTTTTTAAAAAAATTCATAAAATATTGCGGCATTTGTTGATTGTTTATTATTTATAATAATTATTTTTCGCTGCATGGTTTTAGGCGCTATTTTTCTTATAAACCATAAGTGAACCGTTCATTATTCGGTAGTCTGTTTATTATACTTATTATGAGAATAATCGTAACTTAAATAAAACTCAACTGATATACATATATCACTTTGAAAATAATAAAATTACTTCACAATTTAGAAGCTAAAAAGGAAATTGTGTGAATTTCAATATTACTGTAATATATAAACCATCATCGATTTGTCTTTGTATTAAAATTTTTTATCTATTTGTTTCTCTACGCTTTCTGAGAAACGTTTACAATAGAAACAATTTTTTTTTTTTTTTGAAATTATGTGTGTGTCAAACTTTACAATATTCTTTACTTATATGACTTTAATATTTTTTGACACTTATTTAAAAACATAAATTTTTAAGCAAAATTATTTATACTTTGGATCACTAGCTGTAGGAGGGGCATTAATTCTTTTCTTTTACATTTTACATATATGTACATAATAATTAATATACTAAATTAATTTACAAAAATATTTTATTAAAAAATGTAGATTAAAAAAAATACAATAAATAAAACCTTAATATTTATTTGTGGGATTTTGACTTTAACACATTAAAACCACTTTTTTGCATTTTTTTTTGTTCAAAATTAATAATAACAAATTAATACTTGAAAGCTTGACTTTTAAAACAAATAATATTAGAAATAAATAGTTCTTCCTTAAATAATTTATATAAAATACTTCTCAAATCGAATTTAAATAAATTTCAAAATAAACTACATTTATTTTTTCACCAGCCAATTAAATTAATTATCAATACATTTAAGACTAAATGTTTTTTGGGAAGTTTACTGACTCAAAAAATCTATTTGGTTGCTATATATTATTATCTATATATCGACCATTAAACATAAAAAATGTGGCTTAATCCTTGCTTATATGAATCACATTAAGAAGTCGTCAATGCTGTCACTCTAAAACACGAAAGATATCTGATATTAAGAATATATATTGAAAATAACTATACAACTCACACATCTAAGCCTCCGTCTCTTCGCTGGCATCCGCCTGCTGCTCTTCGGGCGTACGCAAATCGATGGCGAATTTTTGTCGATATTCTGTAATTCGATGTTTAGTCGATTGCTCATCGAATTGTTTAACGCGTCGTGAGAAGTCCTTAAATGCTGCTGACAATGCAAAAGTTATCCTACGTGCTGTACTGCGACTATCACATACGAATGCATGCATGTCACAGGGATTTAATTGACCGACGTCTTTTACCACAATCATCGCGAATACGCGGGTATATATTAAATCCTGTACAGCATATGATATTGTATGTATCGGATATGTCCAACTTCTCTTATCCGTTTCCGGTGATGTTATAACCACCTTAACACCTTCCAGTGATACCGTTAAATTGCATAGTGGCAAAGGTGTTTTGAGTGTTGAACTTTTCGCAGCCTTCACCAAAGTTTCTACAGGTCGGCGTGTGAATTTTATGCCCCACAAGCCATTTGATATTTCGGTGCCAAGGTATTTCACCTGAAAATTGAAGAAAAATTAATTATTTAATTAAAAAAGTTGTTCTTTAATAAATAAATAAAATGAAATTAATGTTTCTTTTTTCCTCAACAACCAAAAGCTAAAAATAAATTAAAAATTATTTTTAAGGGCTGTCAAAAATTTCCAATTTCATTATTTATCATTATTTATCATAAATTGAAAAATAATAAAATAACCGATTTTTATTTTGGGATACCAGAAAATTTTTTATTATAAAATAACATAATGACAGATATTTTTTAACACAAAATATATATGTGTATGTAATATATTTAGGTGGGTTTGTATTTTATATATGTACACAGCGGTAACTGGTCAGAGTATTATGCATGCGCGAGGTAACCGGATGTAACGGCATGCGCTTCCACGTGTGACTGTCAGACCAACAGCATTTTTTTCAGTTTTTTTTTTTTTAAGATTTAAAGTCAACCTGCACACAACGAAAAACAGTCCCATGGTTTGTATGAACTTTTAAAACTTTCAATATCACACAGTAGTTTCACAAATATGTATACATGTGTACTCATGTACATATGTGTGTATGTAAATAATGAAAAATAATAATTTATAATCAATTGTATAGAATATGGGCAGTAAGAATTAGGGAGCACATTGGCTTTGTAACACGATCGACGAATTTTCGAGGCGCAACGATGTGTGTCGCTTGGCCGACGTGGCCGCAGCGGTGTTGCACTGTGGGAAAATACTGATTTATTTGGTAGAAAAGTAATTTTTAAATAAATTTTTATGAATTTTTTTAATGAAAGCAAATATTTGTTTAATTTTATGAAATGTAGAATGTGTAAATTTTTAAATTTTACAGTAAAACTATAAAATTTTTATTTAGATTTCTCATATTCTTAACATATATTAGACTTCTCTGAATTTTAAAAACAATTTATTGAAAATTTTTATGATATTTTGTGCAATTATAAAATATATATATTTAATGTATTAATATATAAATACTTAAAAAAATTTAAAAATTACAATTTTTTTATTAAATGTGGCACAAACTAAAATCACACTTTTCGCAACAGAAATAAAACTTTTTTTGGCTTAAATGTTTTTATTTTTACGCTTCATTTTGAGGTTGTAATTTTTTTTTGGAAATGAGGTAGCCGTTGGAATATTAATTTCCATAAAATCAGATTCCTTAAAATTGTATGTACATTTTTTTTGAAGCGCAAATTTTCCGCAAACAATCACTTATTGACACACTGTGCAGCAAATGTATGCAACATGAGCAAGTAATACATAAGTATAAGCATATTTGTATGTGCTTGAGTCCACCTATGTAAATATATTGTTATTGCTTTTTCTCTTTTTCTATATGTATGATAATTTTTCTACATATAGCAATAAATACACACAATTTTTAAAATTTTTCATACTTATTTTCAACAAATTTTTTCTATATACTTTTTTCTGTCTACTGCTGGATTTTTTTTATATTAAATCTAGAATTTATATTAACATGTGTGATGAAAAATCGTGAACCTTTATTGCCATCAACATACTTCCGGTCTAATTTTTTCAATTGATTTATCTACATGCTCCGTCGATTTGTTTAATATGGTTTACTAAAATATAATTTTGTGTCATTCAAGCTTTCAAAAATCTGGTAAATTTAAATTTTGCATGAAAAAAAAATGTACTTTGTTTGTGAGAAGTTAATAACTGAAGTCTTTATTTTGTAATTTTAATTTTAATTTATAAAACAGTGCGTCTATTTTTCTTCATAAAATTTATCAGCATAGGACAGTTTTAAAAGTAAACTGAAAGCAGACAATTACAATAATATTTTAACATTTTTAACCTTTTGTGAAATACCACCAGTAGCCAACTAGAATGCACTAGTATGTACAGGTATATCTGTATATATTCAATTATTTTTTGTCAACATACCTGAAACGTTATTGGTAGATCGTCTAAAGTGACATATGACTCTTCTAGCTCCTTTTTCGCTGTGTTTGCCATGTTGCTTACGTTGGATTTAATGGCGAAAAATCTTAACAAATTTTTCTTAGTAAATTTTCCTGTTGACCGATCCCTAATATTAGCTAAAAAGAGTAGAAATATAAATATTAGCAAAAGTTAAAAAATAAATTTTTAATAAAAAATTGAGACAAAAGAAGAAAATTAAAATATAAAAATATACTTAAAAAGAGCAAAACAAATTTATTTCACTCCGTTTTTAAATATCTCATAATACAGAGATTGTAAATTTTCTATTTTTTATTGTCTAGCGTCTAGACGTTTTTTTTGGACGTGAATGCATGTTTCATTTTACAATTATTGTTATATACAAACTCATTTAAAGATATGTAAATTCACAGTTTCCTACAATTTTACCATACACTACATAGTAACGAGGCATGCAGTTGAGGTTAACAAAATTAATGTGAAACACTCAAATCTTATCTGCGCTGTTATTATCTACCCAAATAGCTTAAGCGTTACGGAAGTGTAATTCACTGAACTGATTTAATTTTTCATTTGCTTAAATTTAAAAAAACATACATATGTACATTTGGAAAAATTATACAAGAGAGTTAACATTGTTCTCCTAACAAAAGTTTCCACTTCATATTAAGGGAAAACCTAAAAAAAAAAGGTATTACTCATCACATTCAAATGAACTACGAGTATACAGTGTTAAATGACAACGCTAGTTCTGGGCGCAAAATGTAAAAAAATTTTTTTTTTTATGAAATTCTCGTTTAATGCAATATGTTAAATAGTAATTTAATTATGTTTGCTTTTATTTTTCTCTTAATTTAATTAAATAAATTGAATTTGAATTTTAAAAATTATTTTATTCCTTTGTATTACTTAAATTTTTTATTCATTTTATTTTGTTTTAAAAAATTATTTTATTTTATTTTATATATTTAAGTTTATTTTATTATATATTTTTTATTTTACTTTGTGCTAATTAATTTAATTTAATTTTTTCTTATTTTATTTTATTTTACTTTTTTATTTTATTTTATTTTGTGATATTTATTTTATTTAGTTTTATTTAATTTCATTTTAATTTTTTTTATATTAATTTGTTTTATTCATTTTATTTTATTTAAATAATTATTTTATTTTATATATTTAAGTTTATTTTATTATATATTTTTAATTTAATTTTGTGCTAATTTATTTAATTTAATTTTTTTTATTTTATTTTTTTTTTTATTTTATTTTATTTTGTGATATTTATTTTATTTAGTTTTATTTCAATTTTTTTAACTTAATTTGTTTTATTCATTTTATTTTATTAAAATAATTATTTTATTTTTTTATATATTAAAAATTATTTTATTTTATTATATTATTTATTTTATTATTTTATTTTTTTATTTTATTTCATTTAATTTTATTTACTTTAATTTAATTTAATTTTCCTTTATTTTTTTTTTTTTATTTTATTTTGTTTTACTTTATTTTATTAATAATTTTTTTTACTTATTTTATTTCATTTCATGTAATTTAATTTTAATAAGAAGTCTGATAAGGAGATGTGGTGATCTCCGAAAATGCTGTAAAAATATGGTAGAAGTTCTTTTTTGCATAACAAATATTCAATTCATACAAACAGCCTTGTTGTTGTAGTTTAGTCGTAGTTTATTTAATGAAATTAATTTATTTTAAACAGTAACTGTTTTCTTTAATTTTATTTTATTAAATTTAATTTAATTCAATATTATTTAATTTTAATTTATTTGAATATTATTTCATTTTTTATTATTTTGTTTTATTTAATATTATTTTATTATATTTATATTTGTATTTAATTGTCAGTTTACTTAATTTGCTTTAAAACAAAAAATTTGTTTAGTATTAAATCATATATTCACGCATTTATTGTCGTATGCATGAATTTATTTTAACTAAGTTGAAGAAGTAATTTGTTCTTATCAGCGTGTGTTTGCTAAAAATTCAATTTGAACCTAATCATTTGACACATATTTAAATGTAGTTTAAAGATTTTGGAAAAACTAAAAATGCATTTTGTAAAATAAGATAAATAGTAATTTTAGTTTTCAACCCGCAAAGCAAATAAAAGTAAACTAATTTATTTTAGCCATCGCTATGGACGATTATGAAAAGTAGCCTCTGAAGCTTTTAATGTTAACCAATAAATCAATACATATAGCGAATAATTGCAAAAGAAAATTTAATTAACATTTAATTAAAATTTAAAGATTAATATTCACTTGACTTCACTGTATTCATTTAATATGCAGAATTTGAGATCAAAATACACATTTTCATCGCACAATAGCTTTTTCTGGCTACAGATTTCACTATATATTCATTTTGAATAAAATAATTTGTCATATTCACACACTTATTATTTAAGCATTTTTTTCCAGCGTAGTTATTGTGCTAATATATTTTTATTTTATTTTATTTGTTATTTTTGTATTTATTTGCTGAACTTTAACTGCCTGGGAAATGTGTAGTCACACCAAACATGAATTAAACAATTGAAGTAAGCGACAAGCGTGGCTTCAGCAACCGTAGCGTACAACATGCTCATTGAAATTACTTTTCCGCTGTTGCTTCCGACTTTTTCATTGCTTTTTGGTTAACATATTCTCAGTCGGTCAGGTCACAGTGAAGCGCTATAGGCAACTGCTGGCGCCTACAGTCGATCACCCAGGTGAGCAACGGAGAAACAACTGAGAAACGATCGCTGCTCATGGTTGCGGCAGTGACGCTGAGACGTTGTTGTATATTTTTACTACAATTACAGTTAGTAGTGGCGATTTACTTTACTTTGCTGCTGCCATTGTTTTCCTCACCGCTGGCAGTGCTACTCGCTTGTTAGTGCGTGCTGCCTGCCTGCCTGGCCTATCTGCGGCATATTGGACGATAGCCGTCGCGGCACCTACAGCGGTAAACAATAAAATAACTAATAAAACATTCAAAATAACAATGGCAACAGCGATCACGTAAGTGAATGAAATAACAGATAAGCAGATAAGTTATATACATATACATATATACATATATATAAATGTTGGATGTACATACATATGAACGAGTCTGTGTATATTTAGACTTGAAAACGCGTTAAATACAAAATGTATGTTACATGGCATAAACAACAAATATATTATTAAAACAACAACAAGTCAGCAACAAATACATTAACTCATATGACATTCTCATATTTTGAGTATTTGATATGAGTTAGGACTGCGCAGTATTCAACTTGAGTCACAAATGTTAATGACCACGAATCAGTCGCCACAATGAAAGCTGAAAATTGTTGACAAAAGTTATGAAAAAGTACACAGAGATATATAATTTGACGTGAAGTACTCTGCGAATATTTGAATATTGAGTTACATCTTTTTAACATTTTATTGCTCCAAATTACTCCCTCACTCTCTCTCTCTCTTACTTCGTAATATTTAAGATAAAATTATCTTGTTATTATTTTATAGCCAGTACAACCATTTAAAGGTAAACAAAGTGAGTCAAATCATCTAAGGAAGGGCCTTTGGAATGCGCTTCGGTGGGATTTAACCAGGGTAAGTGGGATAATTGAACATTTTAGTGAAGCTGTAAACAGGAGATCACTGTTGTGGGGAGACTCATTGCAATTCTTTCGGGATCGAGTTTGGATACGTAAGAGGTGAGTTTACTACAGTAACTCTACTGTTCTTGCGTGAGACGTGAGACAACACGACTTTCTCATTTGGGTGGTTGGATTCCGGTGTTGTCATCCACAAGTGGAGAGCTAAAGAAGTCGGAGATAGATTTTGTGAGAATGATGTTTACGATCTATAGATATCTCGTCGTGTGCAGTGGTTTTCTAATATAATTGCGAATGGAGTGCGTCAAAGTCTTTCCCGATGCTGCCGGTAAACCGATTTGATTATTTTTTCGCGGTTCTTTACTTTCCTGACATTCGCGGTTAACGAGTGCGGCTTTGTCCAAAGTATATACCAGTGATTTCCTGTTGCTAACAGTCGTCATCGATCGAATTTCAACGTTCAGCGAGTAAAAAGAGCAGTGATAGACTTTGCTGGTTGTTATTGTATGTATTTTGCAGTGAACAACCGAGGAAAAGTCGGATGGATAGCAGTATGCCGTTGAAAAAAAATAATCAGTACCTTGACCAGAAGCCAATGTCTAACAGTCAATGGCATACGCGATCAAGAAAACACGTTTAGGTGAGAGATGGAGTTTCGAATTATAAAAATTAGCTGACAGCCGGTTCTGATTTTATCTAAAAAATATTGTTATTACAATTGAAATTTTTTTCCAAAAATAATTTTTAATAATGTAACGGTAATGCCGTTATGTGACCTTCTATTAATCCAAACCTTATGCTCTATGCTAGTTTTCTTAACTCATAAATTTTTTTTTGAAAAAAAATTTGCAATAAATAATATTCAGTGTACTGCTGAAAATTTTTCGCACTGTTGTAATTGTGGGAAAAATTTGTAAAAATGTATTTATTTATTTTAGATACATATGTACACACATACATACATATGTCATACAAATGTACATAAAATGCAAAAATATTTTTATTATATTTTCGCTCCTGAGAAATCAGCCACCTACAAAGTAACGTACATACATACATAAATACATATATGTATGTATATATATACTGAAATGTGTGTGTATTTACCACGTACGGCATTTGTATTGAAACAAAATATCATAATTAGTGCAAGGTGTACACTTACAACAGCTGTAAAATTTCAAAATTACAACAAGGCGTGCCGTTTTCATATCTTAAGTAGGTAGTAAATAAATTTGTACATATATATAATATTTAAGGTCACACTTAAAAAAATAATGTCAATTAAGTTTAGTAATTTGTAAAGAAAGTGTTATTTATGTAACATGTTTTTAATTGATTCCAAATTAGTCTACTTCACACTAGTACCACTGTAACTACTCTTGGTGTAGTATTTTTTACACTGGTTCCAGAATTAATGATTCAAAATAACTACGTGTGCAAGCCAAATAAAGATAGCATTAATATTTGTTAGCATTAGTATACTAATATTTTTGCTCACTGTATATGTGTACATACATACATACATACGTATTCATTTATCGACAGAAATATATGTAAACACGAAAATACCAAATACTTATTGGAGCTTATTTAATCCCTAGGAAATGGCAATATGATTTTGCCAATGCTCCACTTCAGTTAAATCACTTTTTTTCTATAATTCAGTCACATTCACCTGTGCACATAAAGATATGCACAAAAAAAAACTAAATAGACATAAGTACATATATATATATATATATATATATATGTGTGTGCCGTACCTACTTATTAATGAGTTTTGGTTTGTGCATGAAACACGCAATAAAACCACTAAAGTCATTCAATTGTAAAAAAATGAAGTAATTTTTCACTCAGCAAACGACTAAAATAGCAATAAATGATAAGTAATAGGTATTGAGCATATGTACATATATAAAATACATATGTATATGCAGCATTGAAAAGTTAGCTATGTATGTATGTAATATCTATACTCTCATATAGTTTGTTTCTTTGTTAGCTATAACTTTAACATTTTCTTTTTTATTTTTTCGTGATTAAATCAATTGCATTGAAATTTTTATCGATAAAGTATCCCAACACTGCGTACTTTTTTGCCAAAAATTGAAACCAAAGCTAAAAATAATTGAAGTTTATTCGTAAATTGATTGTTTTATGATAATAAAAGTTATTGTTGGTGACGGATCAGATTAAATGTGCAGTCAAGGGTTTGCAGTTTTTGAGTTTCTACTGATAAATAAATACTAAAGTAGTTTTATTTTTTCATAATTTGTTGTAAATATGAATTAAAAAAAATATAAATTTAATATTTAATCATAAATTAAGTAACTTTTTTTTCGTAAACTTTAAAGCCTTATGTAGCAGCCATTTTTATTAGTTTTATTACCACTGTGCATAAACTAAGCTAAACGAATGACTTACTGCTGATGTTGTTGTATTGTTACTTTCATTTTGGTAACGGAATTACTTGACAATTTGCCAATTATCATTCATTGTAATTAACAAATTATTTGAACCTGCAGGTGGTTTCAGCCTTTATTTTATTTTTTTCGCAAACTATATTATAAACTATATTATATTATTATACAATAATAAAAAAATAAAATAAAATAGACCAAAATAAATTAAAATCAAATGAAAAGCAAATTAAGTTAAAATAAAATAAAATGAAGAAAAATGAAAATAAAATAAAATAAAATAAAATAAAATAAAATAATATAAAATAAAATAAAATAAAATAAAATAAAATAAAATAAAATAAAATAAAATAAAATAAAATAAAATAAAATAAAATAAAATAAAATAAAATAAAATTGAATAAAATTAAATAAAATAAAGTAACATAAAATAATGCAAAATAAAATGAGACAAAATAAAATAGAATATATTAATATAAAATAAAACAAAGTAAAGAAATATTAAATAAAGTACAATTAGAAAATTAATAAAATAAAATAACATATACACAACATAAAAAAAGAAAAATTGTAATAAAATCAAATAAAATAAAGTAGAATAAAATTAAATTGTATAAAATAAATTGAAATCATATAAAATAAAAACAAGTAAAATACAATAAATTTAAAAAAATAAAATAAATCAAAACAGTATTAAATTAAATAATATAAAGAAATAATATAATATGGAACAAAAAATAAAATAAAATAAAGTAAACTTAAGTGAAGTTTCACGAAATAAAATAAAAAAATCAAATAATATAACCTAATATAACATACAATAAAATATAATTAGAGAATATAAAATACAATAAAATAAAATAACATTAAATCAAAAAATTTTAAATAAATTAACTAACTTAAATTTAAGATTTAAGATAAAATAACATAAAAAAGTAAATAAACATAAAATAAAATAAAATTAATAAATAAAATAAAACAATATAAATTGATATAAAATTGAACTAAATTAAATAAAATAAAATAAATTAAAAAGAAATTAACTTAAATAAAACAAAAATTAAAATTAAAAAAAAATAAAAATCAAAAGAAATATATGAAATAAAATAAATAAGTGATTTAAAATAAAATAAAAATTAAATTAAATTAAATTTTGTAAAATAAATGGAAATAAAATCAAATCAAATAAAATAAATTTAAATCAAATAAAATAAAAGTGATGAAAAATAAATATTCAATATTGTTTTTTAGCCAGTTTCAGACTAAAGTAAGCAGCTTTTAGACAAAAATATTTCTCTTGCTTTGGTGTTGCTACTTTCCTCAAAATCAAGTTTTCGAAAAAGGCACTTGAACAAATATTTAACAAATATCACAACACATGATAACGCTTGTTATAAAAATTTAAGATATTATATAAATATATATATATATATATACTGAGCTTTATTTGGCTACACATGCTGTCTAGCTAATGATTTATTTATATACCGTTTACTATGTTTTTTTATTTTTAATTTTTTTATTTAATTTAATTTTCTTTTTTTGCTGAAGCAACTGTTTCAACATTAAGCTTCGAATTGTTCTCCATGCGTCAGAGCGTAGGTTGAACGTTGATCATTTCAGCAATATCTTGGTATACATACAACAACAAGTATACAATAATTAGCTGGGTGAGCGCAATTGGTGTCGCTACTGAAGTGCAAATGCAAGTTTAATTTTGAGAATATCTAAACTTTAATGCCGGCCAAACGATCATTATCACTCTACATACATATAGGTATGGAAATGCGAATGCAAAAAAAAAGGAAAACGTATTAAAAAAAGAGATCAGCGTGCGATTAGTGTGACATTATATACGTATGTACGTACAAATACGCTATGAACACATGTTTGTATGTTAACAAAATAAATGGGCGGCTTTGGTTGGTGTCTGGTGGCAATTAAATGCACATGTAAGTGCAAGTTTTTTCTGTATTTTTTTATTTTATTTTTATTTTTTTTTTTGCTTTTTCCCTTTACTTCTTCTCACGTTAGTTTTTATTTTGTTTTTGCTTGTAACTGCAGCACACCGCTTCACACTAAAGTGCCAACTGCTCTGTGTGATTTGATACAGTGATATATAAAAGTACCCATCCGAGTAGGTGGTCATACAATTTTTATTTAAAATATATTTAAATTTCTTGAATTTCAAATAACTGTTTCATAAATTTTTTAAAATTCCTTAAATTTTTTTCAAATAGAAATTAAAAACGGAGATTTTGTACGTGAGCGTATATACCCGATTAGGCATCAGCATCATACTAGTGAAATTCTTGTCAATTTTCGAACTTATTACAAAAAAAAAATGTAGCCTGCAGTGAGACTTGAACCGCAAAGCGCCTGACTGCTAATTAAGCTTAAGAACCTCGGACGGCGTGAACTTAATAACAGCACTGTATGCTGACGAAGTTCTCTTTATGGGTGAACGATTCAATACAAATTTTCGCTATTGTATTTTATGCACTTTTTTGTTGTATTTATTGCTCTGTTGAAGTTTCTGTTTTTTGTTGTTGTTGTTTTTTTTTGCCAAAGCGCGGTTCTAAGTCAACGCTAACTTACTTGAGCTTTAGCTAATTTTCTTTGTTGTGCAACGAAAATGCAAATAAATGTGCATATGTATGTATGTTTGTGTGTAGTGAAGAGTGGGCAGCGATTGTATTTAAATTCATTCGTTTGAAGTTACTTAGCTCAAAAACCATTAGTGAATACAAAATTTTCGTCAAACAAATTTTTGTGCGGAATTTAATAAAAATGAACTTTTGGATTTTTGTATTGGAAAAATTATTTTTTCTATTAAAAAATTGGTTTACATTAACTAAATCAGAATTTACCGTAAGGAAATGTTTGTTACTTAAGTACTAAAGCTCAAAGTACACACTCACCCACTCGAGATGTTAAGGCCGCACACTTTTCTACACAAATATATGTATGTATAAATGTATATATTTTTATTTTTCGTTTCGTCGAAATGGGTTATTCACGTACCGTTATCTTGCTTGTTCATATGTATGTACAAAACACAGGTAATTATTTCATATACAGATGTATACACATATAATGTTTAAAATGTATGTAACTTTATTTGTGAAATTACCAGTTAATGTTTATTTTCCATTTTTTTAAATTATTATATTTTTCCCATTTGCTTGTCTTACTTTGGTTTTTAAAATATATTTTTTATTATTATTTTACTGCTCACTTTTATCTTATCACAGACGCGCACGCTGATAATGTGGATTTTGTTGTTGTTTCACTACCACTTTTACCTTCAAAAATAAAAGTTTTTTTTAAGGAAACTTCGAAGTAATTTTTTCCGAAGCGTTCTTAGTTTTTCATTGATTTTTTTTCTTGTGATTTTTACAATTTTCAGCAATTATTTGTCTATAATTTTATATAAATAATTTTTCATATTTCTCCTCTTCTTTTTACTCCGTTATTACAGGTGTTTTTGTGTTTTTGTGCTTTTGTGTTTTTATTTTATTTTGTCTATCGCTGTCATTAGCGCCAACTTTAAAAGCCACTGCTACGCTTCAACCCTCACAAGCCAACTGATGATCGCTACTGAACTGCAAAATTATGGCATTCGCTCATTGGCGTTTGGTTTCATTATCGTTGGCAATAAAGCTAATAAATATATACATACATACATATATATTCAGCGGTTCACAAACATTTTCAATAATGAATTAGCTGTTCACTGCAAAGTTTCTGCATAATTTCATTCATCCAGTAGTTTTGGTTTCCCCATTGGCCACGCAAATGTAAGGGTTGTCTGGTTTGTCAATCCTAGAACATGCAACATACAAGTGTTTATATACGAAGCCATCCATATCCAAATGTAGATCTCATAAATCTATGGACAGACTCTGAGTCTTGCTAATAGTGAGTGCAAACTGCAGTCGCTTGATATGAAAGGCAGTATCGGACAGAGTGGGAAGGAGGAGGTCTTCACCTTAGAACGATCCAAACAGAATTATTCCTTCTTGTACGTTCCTCCGTAACTTCTTGATTGCAAGTCGTAAACCGTTGCAGATTTTCATCTTATGAATATTATATATATATTATTGGCTGCTAAAGGAAAACATCGATATAAAGGAATCTTGAATGAAAGTGAAACGCGCCATTTGGATCCAGGATTATGCAGACTCAAGTTGAACAAGTAGCCGCAATTCAAGAAAACCTGAACCACTTCCAGCAGATAAGAGTTGTCTTCCTGTTAATATAAGCAAACAGCCTCCTATAAACAAAATTTAAAAAAAAAAAAGGAAGCCATATATGAGAATTATAGTTCAGACCATGGTCCACGCTCCAAAAAATCTGCTTCATAAGAGATATGGTCCTAAAAACCATAGAAACATTCTGACCAAATTCAAAGTCATTGAGTCGAAAACTTCTACCGGACCTTTAGAAAGGAACATAGGAGTTGAGAGTTGAGTTAATGCGGCTGCTGGTCAAAGCCCGGCCCACTTGGGCCAATAGGCCCATCGTGATACCGGCTCAAAATCAAATGATCGAACCATTTCGTGAGCTTTATATGGGCAACAAGATTTCCAATGCTCACCGAGGCCAACTCAGCGAGACAGTCGAAAAAGTGTTTTCCAAGAAACTTGTGTCGCGCGGATGTCAAGGCTGGACACTTATTATACTCGACGCTATGCTAATGCAGAACCGGTCCAGAAGAATAAGATGTCAACCATCGTTCGTCAGCTTCCCTCTTGAATGCCAGTTTCAGCATGTACTTAGCCGTGGATAGAGGTAAACCAGCAACTCCTTCTCTTGCGTGTTCGTCTGCCATGCAATTGCCTGAGATGTCCCTGCGCCCAGGTACCCAGACTATGGCAGTAGGGTTCTTGTGGGGAAAAGATTTTCGAAGCACACACTGGAGGTGGTGTAGCCCAGCTCTCTTGACATTTCTGTAAGAGATAATATTCTCGTTTGACCTATACTACAATTCTTCCAAGGTTGCAGCCCGCTTGTAGTTTCCCGTATAGATCCAGAAAAAGGAGGTTGAGAAGAGTTAGCAGTGCTTTCGCAGGGGTTGATGGAAAGCTCGTATTATCAGGATAAGCGCCGATCGTTAAGCGCTTTCTAATTTTCGCCTTTCTCGAGTTCGGGCCACCAGACGGTGACCCCATAGAATAGGATCGGTCTAACTACCGATGTGTATATCCAATGTACCATACTCGATCTTAAACCCCATCTCTTTTCTATCGCCGTTTACCAGGCGTAGAGTGCAGTTAGAGCTTTACTTGATCTTTCTGCGTGTTCCGGCTTAGTTTAGTTTGCTATCTAGGATTATCCGAAGGTATTTGACTTCGCGAGAGAGGGTAATCTCCACGCTCTTTAGTTTGGGTGATTTAAAGGCATGCGTTTTGTACCTCCTGGTAAATAGCATCATCTGCCAGGGTTCACGTCCAGGCCGCTATCCATGCACCATCCCTCAATTATATAGAAAGAATCGCTTAATGTTTGTAGGTGGCGCAGTTGTCAGCGTATGTCACAACACCGCAACCTGTGTGGCGCACTTTCCTAATCAGAGTGTTCGCTGCTAAGCACCACAGCAGTGGTGATAAGACTCCACCATCGGAAAAGGACTTGCCGTGAATGAAAGAAAGAATAAACGAACATAAGACTTGTATTTAAATATAATACAAAATTTCACGAATGGAAAAATATTGGCTACCTACTACGTCACTACTGTGGTGTTATTGGCTATTGATATCAAAATAACTTCCAACGGTCAAGTTCGTCGTCGGAAACGTGTATAGAATGAGTATCTTCGAGAAGTCTAAAGCACCAAAAATAAAAAGAATCTTAACTTCAATCGCAAGGTGTTCAAATGAATTCGCAAGTAAATGCAGTTTTTTAATTTAGGTGGGGGAAACCCGCTGAGGAATAATCGAAGTAAGATAACTTAACAGTAGCATATATCTCACATATCCTTTTTCGAAAGTCCTGTTAAGAAAGTGACAGTCATAATGTTCTTAGCGTCAATTTTCCCAGCGTGAACTATTCACCTACGAATAAGTGGAGTTTCACACAACTGAAACCTACGCGCGCCACCTGTGTGTAATATTGTTGTTACAATCAGCAAACTATTACCGTTCACCGCTAGATGTCACACGCAATGCCTTTAACGAACAGCTGTAGAACATCCGTTATGATAGTTGACACTTCCTTTCAGTTTTCGGCTTTTGCACGCGGCGGAAGTGAAGCGCGAGAATTTTATTTAAATTTGCGATTTTACTGTTTTTGTAAACCTTTTTTTAAAGAAATTTGGTATTTACATTGTAGGGATGGGAGCTTGCATAAATTATTGTGGCATGAAGTGAATATAAGTGAAGATTTAATAAAATGCTAGTTGTACAAAGCGAGCGAGTGGCGAAGCCATTTGACATAAATTAGTAAAGGACAAGCCACGATTCTTACATTTATGTGTAGATGTGTAAGTATATACCTACTTGATTTCATATACATATGTACATATATGTTTTGACAATTTTTATTAAATAACAGCGAATTGTGTGCTAACGTTTTTTAGAGTTTGCAATGAGGCTGCAAAGCAGTGACAGACTCTTTCTCAATGATGAGATCTGCCTGATCACATTGCATGTAATTTAACCGTGCCTTCGGCAAATGGCCTTTCAACTGTGTTCCGGTTCCAGGTGAGCTTACTATCTGAGATTATACCCAGGTATTTGACTTCGGTAAAAAGAGTGGTCTCGATTCTCAATGACTACTAGTAATCATTCTCCATAGATAGAAGCAGATGGTAATCACTTGGTGCTAAGGCCGAATTATAAGGTGGATGTGTAAAACTTCAAAAAAGCTCTCGGTACTGCTGCCGCGTCACGATCGATGTGTGTGGTCAGGCGTTGTCAAAGCTTGGTTTTTCTGAATGATGGCTTCCTACAGATGGTCCAATTGCTGGCAGTAAACGTTGGAATTAAGAGTTCGCCCGTGGGAGAGCAGCTCAAAGTGAATGATTCCTTGCCAAGCCTACCAAATAAACAACAAAACATTCCAGACCGCTTGTGTTGGCTCATTGCTCTTCGACAATGATCATTTCCGTTTAACGTTCCTGTAAGTGACCCACTTTTCATTACCTACCACCAACCGCTTCAGACGAGTGTCGAGATTTTAACGGTTCAGCTGCGATTCGCAGATGGAAATTCGGTCCATGAGGGATTTTCTACGTCTTCCACAAACTGACGAAACTTAAATTGATTATGATTGACTGTTACAGTATTAGGATCGTAAACACTAACAAATTTTTCAGCTGCCTGACTAGCGTTTCCGACTTTACATGTTGGTTGGTTAAAGTAGCTGTCGGGCATTGGCACACCTAGGCCCCAAACGGGTCCATTGCGATACCACTGCGGATCCCAAAGACTCCCAGCAGTTAACCGAACCAGTACGTGGAGTTTGCAAAGCGGAGCAGTTTCTGCATCCTAGCCCCCGCTATCTCGCTCAGGCCTCCAAAGATTGCCGCCTCTAGTTACTTCCGCCCACTCCTCCAAAGTTCGGGGCAATCGCTCTTAATACGGCTGGGGTATACGAAAAAATATGGATACGTTCATACGAAAGTACCAATGATCTGAGACAGTTGACAGCCGTATGTATACCAATTGATGGTGGCTAAGCTAGCTAGAACATATCATCCCGATAGATAAAAATACTCTAGTTCTGAAGGTATTTAATGCAACAAACGATGTGTGAAAAGGAGATAAAGGGGAAGAAATTTCTCAATTTGTGATACTACCGAGTACAGCGCTGTCTCCATTGATCTGACTTTCATATTGGCTTGCTGGTTTTTCTAGAGATTATGATCCACATTAGACCTAATGTGAATCTCAATATCAATCGTTCCGCTACCTTAAATAGAGAGGGTGAGAGACTTATGGGTCTAAAGTCCTTCCGATTCCTATGAGACGCTTTTCCATATTTGGGAAAAGGAACGACTTTCGATTCCTCCATAATTTGGGTATGTAATTCAGACCGAAGACGAATCGTCAGCCAGCTGACGCTGAAGTCCTAGACTTTTATAGGGCTTAAACGTAATTTAATTGAG